AGAGAGAGAGAGAGAGAGAGAGAGAGAGAGAGAGAGAGAGAGAGAGAGAGAGAGAGAGAGAGAGAGAGAGAGATCGGATGCCGTGTTCATTGACTTCATGATGTGCTGTCGGGGTGGACAAAGTAATTCCTTATGGGCAAAACCTTCTGGAATGGTCTAAACTTCTAAAGCCTCTGATGTCTTCGGGTTCAACTGTACTCTGTGATTGTTACCAGGGTTTCAGCGCAACAACTGGGCGTGCTACTTTGTGCCAGAGACTACGTGGGAGTGCAGGCGGCAAGCAATTCTGCTTCTGAGGATGAGCCCACAAGGCAATAGAGTGGTTACACCAGCGCACTTCAAACAGGAAGAGTTCTGGTTCCCGCGACCACCAAAGTAAGTGGGAAAATGAGAATTCCATCAGAAGATCAGAAGTGCCTTTTCAAAGGAATCACAGGCAAACAAACACCTGAACAAAATGTCAAAAGCTTGTAATAGCTCCTCTCTCTCCCATTCTCCTTCCCTCCCCCTCCCCCTCCCCCTCCCCCTTCTCAGCCCCTTCTCAGCCCCTTCTTCCCCGTCGTCCTCCTCCTCATCCTGCTGCTGTCATCTAAAGTATGCTGGTGTCTCTGTCTCTGCTTTTGTTCTTTACCTCTTTCCTGTTGAATAGCTTTTTGCTGGGACCACGGCTTAGCCCTAGAGATTATTCTTCTATCCATCAGTGCTTGTTACTTTGACTTCGTAAAATCTGTTTGGCAACTGCTACATATGGAGATCATTTTCAGCAATGAGCCAGGTACAGGCTCGCCTCTTACCTGCGATGTCTTTTTGGCTACCCCTTTGGTGATGTCTTTTCGGTCATCTTCTACTGTATTCACCCAAATAGAACGCCCGGTCATTATTGCTGCGTCTGGACTGAAAGTTGGGCCAAATGCAGCTATAATGACCGGGCGTTCTATTTGGGTGAGGACGGAGGTGGCACGATTTCTCGAAGTAAGGGTTAGCCTTTGGCCCTTCTTTTCAAAGGCGCCCATAACTCGACGAGCTAAAGCCTCCCACGGGTCTGGCTTTTCTTGGGTTTCTTATCAGCTCCTCCAGGCTCTCCCGCTTTGTGACCTTCAAATATTGATGAACATACAATGGGAAAAAATAGTCGAATTGTAAGCTTTCAACGAGTAGGTCACGTTGTGTTTTGTCTTTTTTGAGTCCTTCTCAAATTTTCAATGCCCTGTTTTTTTCTCCGATCCTGATTTTGTAGTGACCCTAGTTGGTACAAGATGAGATAATGTTTTCAAAGTCTGAATCTTTTCGCGCCATGCCGCCTTTTTGGTGTTGGGGCTTAGCACTCTGGAACTGAGTTGTGAAATTGGCAAGAGACGAGGGGATCGATGTACACTGGAAAGTTGGAAACCGTTCAGCCTAATAGACTGGCACATGCGTTGGGATTAGGGGATGGAGGGAAAGGCTATTTGCTGGTCTCAAGGTGTTGCTTTCGACAGTGTCTTCCCTGCTGCTGAAAGGGAGCCTATTAAACCCACCACTAGGGGCCCCTGGCCAAAAAAAAAAGAGTGAGTTTGCAACTCTGCATACATCCGCAACTTTTGGGGACAAGTGCAAGGAAAATGAGTGAGAGTGATAGACAGAAATCCAAATTGCAATATCACGTTGAAAGCCAGATAGTCATGTCCGAGATAGAACTCAAATGTCAATGTGCGCCTTTCTCGTCACCACCAACAAAATATCCAATGTCGCCCTTCTCTATTGGCGCTCAGCGCTCAGCCTATCTCTACTCAGTACCTTTCTAGCATACGCTATGATAAGCAACAGGAAGTACGTGACGAAGTCGCCCATGCAGACTGCGGCATACGCATCAGGTCCGTTTCTCACTTCTCTCTCTGATCCCTCACTCCCTTCTCTCCCACCATGTCAGTGTCCCCTGCCCGAAGACCACCATCACCATTACCAGCACCTGCGAGCAGGCCCGGATATGGCCGCTCGCGCCCTCTGCCGCCGCAGTGCCCTCACACCACTGTGCGCCCGTGCGCGCCCTGGCCTCGTCTCCTTCAGCTGTCTCAGCGCTGTAATCCAGCAGCGTGGCAGCGAGAGAGCGCAGTGCCAGAATACCCTGCTCCCTGGGCTCTCCCTTTCCTATATTGAAAGTGAGCTCTGGCCTCTTGCACCCTGGACCTGGCTACCAAGTTTCCAGTAGCTTCTAGTCGGGCCCCAGTATCTGCGCCCAGGCCCAATGCAGCCAGTGGCCTAGGCCCGCAAAGGTTAAGCAGCCCAACTGTGTGACATGGCTAGCATCACTCGCTGCATTTCCATTGGCCTAAAGGCCTCTGGCCACGTCGCTACCCGGGTGAGAGCCCGGAGGCTCAGCATGCCATGATCCCACAGGGTGTGGGCCTCGTAACCAAATGTGGTGTGGCAACTGTCTGGCGCCCCCCATATGCATAAATGACAAAAATAAGGCCTCATGTTGAAATGCAGGCCCACCTTCACTTAGGGCGGGCACGAGGCTTGCTGGGGGGCCTTTGTCGTGGCCTGAAAGCCCCTGCGAGGGGCTCAATCCTCGCACAAGGGACTACCAGACAAAAATGGTTGGTGCGGCCAGCCAAACTGAAAAGAATCGCGCCCGTGCTGGTTTGAATATGTTTTTTGTCGTGCAGAATGAATCTGGACTGGTAAAACCAGCCTTGAACATAGTGGCCGTGTCGCCGTCAGTATCAGTAACAGTATCAGTGTATGTGCCAGTTATCGTCTACAGCGAACCACTGGGAAAGTCGATCCAGTCAGTGTGTGTTTCTGTTGTCATTGATGCATAAGTAAAGCACGTCCGCCGAATGGAGATGGTGAGGCAGCGAAGTAGTCGATCCTTCACAACTGCCACTGTAGAGTATAAAGTTTAAACCTTGCACATTTCTCTTTTTCTTGTTTTTCAAAAATCTGGACCACTTCTCGATTTATGTGTGTCATCCTGTGCGGGGGCCATGCTAATCTTTCTCGGTAGCGTTCCATAGTTCCAATTTTTAAGGATCTCCCAAAGGACAGTCGCGTATGTTTCTTCTTGTCTTGATGTAAAAAAGGTGAATAAGTAACAGAAAGGTGCTGCTCTAGCGTCTGGAAGCCTATGGACCGCGATTGAGCAAAACCGCTGTTATTCTTCTTAGGTTCTTAACTGCAGTTACTGTGGACCAACCCTAGTGTAGAACGACTGAATCGTCAGCCCACTTAGCCTATTGGTTAGGTGTTTGCCTGACAAGCTATTGGTTCTGCGTTCAATTCTCGGATTGGACAGGCTTAACCGTAGTTACTAGTTACCGTGGACCATAGTTTTCTTCCGAGCTCCACAAACAATGCCGTATGCGATAGAAATCAAACAAGGCAGGAAAAAAATAAATAAATAAAAGGAGGCGGTAGCACTCAACCATTTGTGGGAGTGGCATGCAATAAATAGTTGGAAACAATGGAAAGCTATCACTAGCTCTGTAATATCTGCAGTAGTTGGGACTCAGGAGGCTATCTGCATCTCGGTACGATCTTCTTCTCTTATCTTTGGTACCTGCGGACATTGGAATCCAAGTGGGACATTGGGACTATTGGGTCAGTTTGTAAACATAAGGAGACATTTCATAAACTCGGCTCCTAAACCGCTAGTAGTACCTTTGACGTTTGGGAAAATAGGGAAAAACTGGCAGCTTTCCCAAACACCTTAAAAGTTGGGGGCTGGTCCCGGCGACACCCAGCGTTGATAAATCTCATCGGCGGCTGTGGTTTCGTTTCAGCCTCCTAAAAGATCGGAGGCCCACCTGAGGCTCCCTGTTTTTCCAACCATCAAAGGTTATAATGGTTCAACCGGTTTTACAAACCGTGATCACAGGACTACAATGAACAGCTCTCAAGATTGGAGCAAATTTGAAATTCTTCACAGAAAAGAAAAAGAATATCTGGTCTGTCCCAGATCCATGGGGTCTGGGCCCACGTGTCCGAACTTACGACCTGGGCTGGGCTGCAATGGGGTCAGGTCCGTCAGCCTCTCCCATATTCAGCCCTAGAGAGGGACCTTCCGTGTTCAAGACTGGAGTGCAGCCCAGAAAAGAAGCGGTGAACAGAGTCCTAATTTTTTAGGTTTTTTTTTTTTTCAGGGTCGGTATAACAAAAGTTCCACACCTTCGAAGCCAGACTTGCCACCAGTCCATAGACTCGACACCAAATAAACCAACAGCAAAAAGAAAAAAAAGTGAAAAAATGGATCAAAAGGGCCTTGAACACCAAGTCAAAAGTGTGTTTTCATGCAAAATTCGCTCTTTCGAGTCCTTTTCAGGATTTTCAGGATTTTCAGGGCTGGCAAAAACGGTCATCTGCAAGACCCCAACAAACACCAAAATTGGCACAAGCAGATCTTGACCAAAAAATAAACAGGGCAAAAAATAAACAAAAAAAAAGGAGAAAAAATTATCCCCAAGTGTACTTTTCAGCCAGGCTTCCTTAGCCACCCGGTCGGGCCGGCACGGCCGTGCATCCGTGCAGCCTGCACGGACGGGCGGCTGCACATGTCACCCGTGCGAGGTATTAAAAGAAAAAAAAAAAAGTGGTGATGGGGGGCTGCAGAGCATGCAGAGAAGTGCCCGAATCTGCCTTTTCCACACATGCAGAGAAGTGGTGATGGCAGGAGGGAGGCGGAGGACGGCAGGAGGAAGGAAGAAGATGGCGGAAGAAGAGGACCAAAGTGGCGGGAGGGAGGCAGAGGATGGTGCACGGGATGTGGGAGAGGTGGGAGGGGAAGTGGGAGGTAGCGGGAAGTAGGTGGGAGATGGCGGGATTGAGGTGGTAAATGGCGGGAGGGGAAGTGGGAGGTGGCGGGAGGTAGGTTGGAGAAGGCAGGATGGAGGTTCGATATGGCGGAAGGGAGGTAGGAGGAAGGCGATGGAAAAGAGATGGAAGATGGCGGAAGAGCAGGAATGAAGTGGCGGGAGGGAGGTGGATGATGGCGGAAGAGCAGGAATGGAGTGGCGGGGGAGAGGTGGAGGATGGTGGGAGCAATGAGGGAGATGGCGGGAGTGGAAGTAGGAGTTTGTGGGAGGGACAAAGGAGATGGCGGGAGGGGAAGTAGGCGGGAGCGGGAGGGAGAGTAGGAGGGAGTGGGAGGGAGGAAGGAGATGGGGGGAGGGGAAGAAGAAGGAAGACGACGAGGGAGGAGAAAAACAAGAAGACGAAGCAGAGAAAAAGTTAGCATTGTTTTTCTGAACACCGTGCTGGGGCCGCATGGTGCCTGTACGAGGGACCCGCATGGCCGTGCGGCCGTGCAAGGATCCGTGCGTGCCGGGCGCACCCGTGCGACCCTAGCTTTTCAGTGCTGTGGGGGGTTAACCTGGGGCTGAAAGTGGGGGTCCCTA